CGGGGCAGGGGCTCTCGTCTTGAATGTCTGGCGCGCGGTCTAGCATGCGGGGGTGCGGTGGCACTTGTGGCCTTCAGAACGAGCCCCCCTGCCCCCTCGAGAACAGAGCGCGGGGCGCAGGCCGGCCAGCCCTCGCCGAGCCCCCGGCCACGCTCTGGGGGCGCTGGCCTGTCCGGTGGTCCGGAGCTCATCCGGGCTCTTGCCCTGTGGCTTGAGGGGGGGGGGGTGGTAGGGGGAGGCAGGCTGGGGGGCGTCGCGGGGGCTGGCGGCCTGGGCCGGCGGCGAGAGGGGTCCGAAACGGGACCGGGCCGAAGGTAAGTCCGCTGTCCGGTGCCCCCGGGAGGGGGGGGGGTGGTTGTCGTGGTGATGCCTCCCTGTGATCTCCAGCCTGGGGGGTGCCAGCCTGGCGCCGGCCCTCCGGTCCTTCCTGTATAACTCCATCGCTTAAAAACCGAGTCGCACCGGCGCGGAGCCCCAACACGGAGCCGCCGAGGGGCGCCCCGAGCAGCCCGCTCGCCCGGTCCAGTCTGGGGGGGGGGGGGCTTGTGAAACCCCCCCACCGCGGTCCGATCCCCGTGTTTCCCTGGCTGAAGCGCCCCACTGTGACGTGTCGGGGGGGGAGGAGGGGTGTTACAAGGTTGTGCTTGTGGGGGGCTGGGGTGGAGCTGGTGTGGTTTGGGGTGGGGGTGTCTCCGGGGTCTCCTGCTCCGCCCTGCAGAGTTTGGGGGGTCCGCGGGGGTCCGGGGGGTGGCTGTGAGAGTGAGCTGCACCAGGCTGCCCGGGAGGCTGTATTAACTGTGTGTTGTTCTCATTGTCACTGCAGCCGCCTAAATCTCGATGGCTTTTGGCCAGAGCTGGCTTGCAGATGATGCTTTTGGGGGTACACCCTACTACCACTCTGCTCAGTGTATGGTTGGTATGATGGGTTTGTATATGATGGGTAAGGTTTATCTTTTTCACCAAGCGTAGGAGTTGAGAGAGAGAGAGAGAGAGGGTTAAAAAAACAGTTTTTTTTTTAACAAACCTTTAAAAGCACACACATAGCAAACACCCCAAGTCTCGGGGGGGGCCCCTGCCCGCGAAGGTTCTCGGGGAGTGTTTCTCCCGTGGGAGCAGCAGGTCAGTCAGGGGTGTCCGGGCCCGGCTGGGCTGGGCCGGACAGCGGGTGAGTGTATGGTCAGGGCCACACTGTTACCTGTGAGTTTCACTGGCTGGGGGCTCACGTCTGCCCGGCCTGCAGAGCAGGCTTCTCCTTCCTTTCTGTTGATTTTTTTTTTTATTTATTTTTTTTTT